ATGTATTCATATTATACCTCTTATAATCAGAAAGTTGTAGGGGAAATGCAAAATGTTACAATGATGATTATTACTATTTATATTTAAGGTGATTGTTGACTAAGTTGACATATTTTATATCTCAAATAAAACTTTATTCAAGACTTTTAGTAAAAATTGCATCAGCTGATTGATTGAACGAAGATTTGGCAGGAAAAAAATCTACTAGGCTGATGTTTTGAAGGTCTTATGAAGTTTAGTTTAAAATATTAATCATTGTTATTAGGCTTAAATATTCCCAACTTGTCCCAGGTTGTCATTTGGGCGAGCCAGACTGAAAATCAGGTCGTCCGAAATCATTTTAGGGTGGAAATGACGAGGTGACGAGCGCGAATGTCGAACCCTGCACCAACAAAGACATTGTGCACCCCCCAGATTCTACAGAGTTACCCAGAACAGGGAAATTACTTTGTGGGGCAAAGTGCTGACTAGAATCTTAAGAGACCTACACACTCCTCAATCTGACTTTGCCAACATTGCTTAATTAATAAAGCTAGCATATTATCATGAACCCTACTGTCCTTTTGCCAAATTATGTAAACATCCTACAGATTATAATGCACCAAATAAAGATGATGCTCATGATAGTAGGCTATATATTTATGGATCTATTCTCATTGTAGGTGATGCATACACTGAATCTTTAAAGTATTCAGAAATGTATACTTTCTATGCTTTATATTCCAGTTTCTTCTCTCTATCAAATTATATAATTTTTTCCACATCTTATGAGACTGAGAAACTTTGAAATAAAAAAAAAATCTTACAACTTGTGCCTGTATTTTCTGTTTATAATTATTCTTTTTTTTGTCTTGTGGAGGCTAATGAAAAGATTTCTGATATTTTCAGAATATGGAAGTGAAGTGACAAGCCAACCAGTCTCTAAACAACATCTGGAAAGAATATCAGAACAAATATTGTTTCAAGAACAGACTAAGAAATTTCCCAATCATAATAAATCATCAGAAACATCTTCATCTGGGGTTTTTGAATACTGTAATTTTCCCAATCCTAACTCATTAAAAGAGGATACTGGTAGGTTAATTTGTATTTTATTGATTACATGTATATATATTTATCCTTTACACTTTCTGTTGACCAATAACATCATTCTGGTATTTACTCTCAGGTAATACATGTATACTAATTTATTGAACCAGTATTTTGGATATCTGTTTTTTTTGTTTTTTTTGTTGATGAATTCATGTTTGCAAAAGGTCTTTCTGGTTTTGTTTGTTTGAATGGTAGTTATTGAAGAAATTTTGACACTTTTAATTCAGAGGTATGTCCATCTGGATACTGTTTGTGTACTTAAAAAAGCGGGCTTCGTATTTTAGCGGTTTTGGCGTGGACAGCAATGCGCTAATTCATGAATACCATTAAAAAATCATTTATACATACAATATAAAGCATGGATATGTGTAGCGCTAATTCATGATTGCGCTAACCACTCACTACCCAGTGATTGTGCTAAATTTTGAATACGCTAATTAATGTACACTTGCAGTATATCTGAATCTTAATAAAACATTTTTTGAAGCCTTTATTTTCTAGGACTTTAACATTCTTTAATAGGTCATTACCATAAAGAGCTAGGGGCACATGGTTACAAACTTAAGCTGGTGCAGATGATGATCAGACATGGAGATAGGACACCACTTCATACTCTAGCTGACCGACCTAACCCAAGAATCAGCTGTAAGTTTTCAAAGAAGGAGAAACATGTACACTGGATTGTGGGCAAGTTTATCTCCAGAATGCAAAATGAGGACGCTAATGAGAATTTTGAATTTTTGCACCCCTATCCAAATCAACCATATTGTCGGCAGTCATATTTAACTCCACAGGGAGCTGTGCAGGCATTGCTGAATGGTCTTAAAGCAAAGTACAAGTACGTTGATCAGTTGGATTTATTTGGACAAAATTTCAGTGAGAGAAAAATTATTGTGAAGAGTACAGTATACCCTAGAACTTATCAGAGTGCAAATGCTTTTATGTTTGGCTTTTTATCTGATTTCAATGCCATCGTTAAAATTCAGAAAGCTAGAACTGATCTGTGTTCAGAGAAGGATTCAGGACTGCGCTGTTATTGTACAGGCATGGAAAAGTATGCAACACCTCAAAGGAATATGAGAAAGATGAGTAAATCTTCAATACAGGCAGTGACAAACTTCAAAAGGAAAGTAGCCAGTATATTCCACATGGATGTCACAGAGATTAAGTCATTAACTCATGTTTTTGATGCGTTGATGGTGCGAGCTTGTCACAGTCTTCCTTATCCTTGTAATAAACAGAGAAATTCATGTGTAGATAGGAAAATGTTGGACACATTGTGGAGCTTAATTAGCACAGATATGCAACATAATTATTTTTATAATGAAAATCTTTTAAAAACACACCATCTAAGATTTCATCCTCTCCTAGTGGAGATGTATTTAAGAATGAAAAATGTCACCAAGCGGAGCTCCCGAACAAACTTTGTGTTATACTCAGGACATGACATAACAATGACTCCATTTTTAATGCTGTTGGGCATATTTGATGGGAAGTGGACACCTTATGCATCCTCTCTAGTCCTTGAATTGTATAGCAAGGAAGAGGAATCAAAGATACATTATTATTTGAAAATTATATACAATGGTGCTGACAGAACAAAGGATTTAAAATTTTGCAGAGGTTTAGAAATGTGCAAGTTTAAGTATTTTGAACAATTTGTTAATACTCATTTAAGGAATATGGGACTAAATGATTACCTCTCAGAGTGCTTCTCTTGATGATTTGTTATTGGTAGTAAGTATTTTGAATAGTTTGTGGATATTGAATTATTATTTTCATATGCATTGTGAAGATCAAAGTTTGACTGGAAGGTGGGGGGTGAAATAGCATTATACTGTCCATAAAATATGATTTCATTAGTTAGCTGCTGTGGGTCTTTTCTATGCATTTTTGACATTTTTCAACTTCTTCTCCAGAAGAAGTGGACCAAGTCATTTAATCTTGCCAAAGCACCCTCGGGTAAAGAGGGGTTCATGTTTGTTCAACTGAAGAGTCACTCTCTGTTGTAAGGGTAGACAATCATGAATTATGTAAATTTGGTGGCATGTTTTTCAAATCTTTATCTCAAGAACTACTGGAAAAATAAGAAAATTATAGAAAAGTCTCTTGACATAATGTATGTTCATAAGTTTTGTCCAAATTGTGTCCCCTTGGGATAGGGTGCAGCCACAGCAAAAGGATCAAATTGTTGTCTTGAATGTAAAAGAAAATTCTTTTCAAGAACATCAGAACAATCAATAGTGATAAATATATGCAGGTATCCTCAGATAGTGCAGGTCAAACTTTGTTCCAATTGTGGCTCCAAGGGAGAAAGTATAAATATTTTGCTAAGGAATAAATAGGGACAATTTTTTTGTCAAGAATAAGTGGGGGCACAAGAGGGAAGATGATTTGAAAATATTTTTTGTTTCCCATTGATTTCTATAGTAAAAAACACAAGTTTTACCAAAGTTTTTGAGTTATCTCTCTTTGTTTTCCCAAATAAGTAACATTTTTTGAAAATCCATATAAATATTAAAGATCATTCGAATATCTTACCTTTTGAAAGTGGACATGGAGGTAGGCGGGAGAATAATACATGTACCCCAGTACTGTCATTTGCAGTTCTTATACAGTGTCATGATGCCACATACCAGTAATAGCAGCTGGGATCATCAGACAATGTTTTACTTTTTCATTATAGCATCATTTCATACATGTTTTCTCTGTGTCAAAATATATTTTTGCATCAGAATGTATTATGGCTTTCATTTTGAATATTGATATATCTTTTTTGAATTCTATCTGATGAAAGGTGTTTGAACAAGACATGTTTTGATATTACCTAATTTTTGGACCGTATGGAGTTCTGAATGTATATCATTTTCTTTTGTTGAATTATTTTAGTGCTTACCAATGTATCTAACTTCAGTCACTGTGATATTTTGTATACTAGTATGCTTTAACAGAAAATATTTACAATCATGTTCAATTTCTATAACATATTTTTTGTATTATCTTTTGATTTATGATTTCAGCTCACATGAGGAAGGGCTTTATTTTTTTTCCTGAACTTTCTAATTATTCATGTGCATTTAACTATTGAAAAAGTTTTACAAATTATTAAATTAAAATTTTTTGCTATTGAAAATCATATTCCATTCACATATGAACATTTACTGTTGACATTGAAAATAAAGGTGTTTTTCTGTGCAATTCTTTTAACATGTTCCCTGAAAATATAGTTAGGTTCTTCTTACAAGTTACAATACTGCTACTTATGGCCGTAAAGTGGTGTACCTGAAAGAATTGGTTAATTTTGAAATGAAATATTTCATGTCATAAAAGACACAAAAGACAAATTTTAACAGACCAGTCTGTTAATTTTGGGACAAATTACTAAGATGGACTAAAGTTTGTGCTTTTAAGTTGTATTTTTTCAGTATTATTATATTTGAACAATTTAGGATATTCATAAATGTTGATCACAGGGGCATGACGTTTTTACCTTTCTTTTCATAAATAAAAAAATTTCCATAGTATTTAACAATAACCTTGTAATTATTATACTATGGAGAATTTTTTTATTTATGAAAAGAAAGGTTAAAGATGTAAAGCACCTGTGATATTAATATATAAACAGTAAACCCTGTACTAACAGACATTGTTCCAACAGCTGCTAAATGTGTGTTAAATTCATGGCTATGACTCCCTCCACCCTTTTCCCAAATTCATTTCAATTCATAGTTTTCAATCTTCCAAACTCCTATTATAGCTTGCTTGAGCTGAAAACTCAATTCAAGATAGATACTTCTTACTCTTAAACTTGGAATTCAAACAAGAGGGAAATTGGGCTAGGCATACTGTAATATGCAGCTGAAAAGATGATTATGATTAAAAAAAAATAAACATAATGAAAGCTTTATATTAAAAAAAAATCCATTGATAAATTATTGTGTCATAAGCAATTTGAGATTTTATTGGAATGGTTCAGTAAAATTTAGCACGGTAAGGAATAAAACCAATGAGATTGTTTTCATAGTAACAGAAACTTTGGTACATCCACTGTCCATGTTTGGATAAGGCTGAGTTGCTGTGGCACTGCTTGATGTAGCAGCTGTGGTCTCTAAGTCTGTAGACGTTGATTGTGTGGAAGTTGATTGCGTAGTAGTAGATTCTGTTGTGGAGAGTTGTATAGTTGTTGTCTGAGTTGTAGTAACAGTTGATTCTGTTGTGGGTTGAGTGGTGGTCTGTTGAGAAGTGGTTGTGATGGGTTGAGTGGTGGCTGTGGTCTGTTGAGTAGTGGTTGTGGTGGGTTGTGTGGTGGTTTGTTGAGAAGTGGTTGTAGTGTGTTGTGTGGTGGTCTGTACAGTTGTGGTTGGTTGAGAAGTGGTTGTGGTTGGTTGTGTGGTGGTCTGTTGAATAGTGGTTGTGATGGGTTGAGTAGTGGTTGTGGTGGATTGTGAGATGGTTTGTTGAGAAATGGTTGTGATGGGTTGTGTACTGGTCTGTTGAGTTGTTATTGTAGTGGGTTGTGTGGTGGTCTGTTGAGTAGTGGCTGTGGTGGGTTGAGTGGTGGTTGTGGTGGATTGTGTGCTGGTCTGTTGAGTAGTGGTTGTGATAGGTTGTGTAGTGGTTGTGGTGGGTTGAGTAGTGGTTGTGATAGGTTGTGTAGTGGTTGTGGTGGGTTGAGTAGTGGTTGTGATAGGTTGTGTAGTGGTTGTGGTGGGTTGCATAGTAGTGATAGGTTGTGTAGTGGTTGTGGTGGGTTGAGTAGTGGTTGTGATAGGTTGTGTGGTGGTTGTGGTGGGTTGAGTAGTGGTTGTGATAGGTTGTGTAGTGGTTGTGGTGGGTTTAGTAGTGGTTGTGTCTGACTCTGTTGAGGTTATGGGAGGTGCAGTGGTGGTGGATTCCATTGTGGTTGTCTGAGTGGAAATTTGAGGAGTGATTGTGGTTGATTCTGTTGCTGTGGTTTGTATGGTTGTTGGTTGAATAGTGCTGGTTGTTGATCTAGTTGTGGTGGAAACAGTGGTTGTTGTAATGAACTCATCCAAACATGACTGAGAAAAAGTATTGATGACTTCTTGGCGAACAAATCCTGATAAAGTTGTTCCACAATAGGTTGTAAGGCACTCCAGAAGGGAAGGTATTGTGTTTCTGCAATATGAAATTCTTGCTTGTTGTAATTTCTCAAAGTAACTGTTTGATATGTGCCTCCCAAATCAATAATTGGTCAATAGTATCTTATTTTAGCTGTAACAAAAATGCTACTTACGCACAGAAGTTGGCATCAGAGGAATAATCAACAGTTATACAGGAAGTTCTGATTGTAGTGAAGTCTGATGCACAACTCTGGACAGCAGTGGTCAGACCTATAAATTAAACAAGAGATTTTTATTTGGTACTTATCAATCTGATTAAAATCAGATCCTTTGCTCCACTCACATAGATCGCTACACAATCCAATCATGTATTTTTCTTTGCAAGCAATTGCAGCATTAAGCTCGCCTGTCCTGACTATATTATACCAGGCAACTTATTTGCAGTACATGGCCCACTGCCACAACCCTTCACTTGTTTTTCTTTTAAATTTATCCTTTTTTTCTTCATAGGGTAAGAAACTTTGTTTTATTGTCCTCACTTCTCTCACACCTTTGTTTCTTTGAATTATTTAGATTTGTCATTACAAGTAAAACTAGAGGTACTGTGAGCGATGAGCTCACTAAATGATACCCCCCGCCTCCCATATGGTTATAACTGGTGAAAAAGTCCATGTTTTCCTGTGGCCGGGAAACCCAAAATATGTGTCGGATCAAAAAGTAAAATAGGAGGTGCACAATGGCAATATGTAATAAAGATTCTGTGAAAGTTTCATCAATTTTCATTCAGTGGTATGAGAGGAGTTGCGGATAAGAGATGGGTACCCCAAAGCGTAACAGACGGACGGACGGACGGAATTAACGATTACTATATACCCTCCCGCTTTTCAAGCGGGGGGTATAATAAAATTAAAATATAGAATATTCATACTTGTAATGTCTGTGCTGCATATGCTGTTTATCTCCAATTCGAACTTGGTTACGTTGATGACACTTTTGAGCCGGGCATCCACGGCATATGAGGAGGAAGGTAGATCCGTTTTAATACAAGACACATATGCATCCTTGTATCTTCAAATAAAAATAACTGAAGCTTTTATCCTAACGATCGAAGCGAGAGTTGAAAATACTTCCTTTCAAGTAGCGTGTAGAAGCAAAATTGACAATTTATATGAGCACCCGCACACGAACAAAAAAAAATATAGTGCTCCACAGCAGTTTTACCAGTTTGACTTACGAGCATATAGTCCCGCTTTGTAGTATTGTTGTAACAGCGAACACCAAGCCCTCTAAGGTACTCACATCCACCGAGTTCCCCATAGGGTCCGTCAGAGAATCGAACACTCCACTGCTGGACAGGCATTTCTCAAACACCGATTCCTCGTATCTACATGTTCAAAAAGGTTTCTGATATCTTGGCAACTTGTTTATTTTACTTGTGGATATTGTAATTTGGTAAATAAAATTATAGAATTATACATTCGTACACTCGCTTGGCCGCTACTAATCTCAGGGAGATGGATATAGAGACTAAAATTTTGGTCTGACATTAGACTAAAATTTTAGTCTCTACCCATTTCGCTGAGATTAGGCCGCTACTTAAATAAAGGTACGGATGTCAAGCTGCAAAACACATTTTTTATGAATTATATTGATATTTTCATACAAGCCTTCTTGTCATTGAGTACACTATATTATTACTAGCAAAATTGATAACGTATTTAACTTAAAGGGAGTCGACTATGGATGATATTATGCATTGAATATGTGTGTGTGTGTGTATATATATATATATATATATATATATATATATATACTGTAGATCACTAAATTTTCGCGACACCTTATTTTCGCGAGATAGTCATTGATTCTTTATTATTGAGACATAATTTTCACGAATTGCTGTTTTTACTCTATATAATCATAAGGAATACTTTTAAACGCGAGAATGAAATTTTCGCGAGCTCATTGTCTCGCGTAATTACGCGAAAATAAAGTTCTCGCGAATAAAACGTGATTTACAGTATATATATATATATATATATATATATATATATATATATATATATATATATATATATATATATATATATATATATATATATATATATATATATATCAAAGTCTCTTTTTGTCAATACAATAAAAAACTTTAAAACACTTTTCGAAATATTTCAACCGTGTTACCGGCCTTCATCAGTCGTGTTTATTGCATAGCAATTGGAGTTGCTATGCAATAAACACGACTGATGAAGGCCGGTAACACGGTTGAAATATTTCGAAAAGTGTTTTAAAGTTTTATATATATATATATATATATATATATATATATATATATATATATATATATATATATATATATATATATATATGAAATATTGCTTAGGGAGACCACGGAAGATATATTATCTGGCTTAGGGAGACCGCTGGATTAAGGCGACCTTTTTTGGTCTCCCTAATATTTTGACCTCATGAGTATTTCAAATGTCGTGTTTTTGGTAAATAAACAGTCTTCCATTAGATAAAAGTGATGTTTTTGTCTGCGATTTAACATTAAAAAGTAGTCAAATTTCTATCATATTACCTGAAAAAGAAAAGAATGTATTACCTGTGTATAATTTCAAAGGATATTTTTTCAGCATTGTGGAGACCACGGAAAACGTGCAATTTAACAAAAAATCTTGCATATATAATTTTTTCCGCGTTAAATTATTTTAAATGAGTGTTTCTTCGACTTATTTTTCCATTTTTTATGTTAAAAAACTAAAGAGGAAAAATATTCTAAATTTATGCATCAAGTTCTGAATTCTTAGCAAGTGCTTTCCGTCATTTGTTCCGAATACCATCGGAATGCCTCTTCAGTTTTCAGAAAATGACCTTTCAACACCCCTAATTGTTGAGAAAGAGTTGTATTGCGGTAAGTAACTTAAATAATACTTAATACTTTTTTTTAATACACAAGGCAAGCATTGATTTTTTTTGAGGGGGAGAGGGGGGGGTGTAGTAATTTTACTTTGAAGAAGGAAAGATTATAAATACGTATTTGAACCTGAAGGAAATTCGAAATAAAGTTGATATCAGTATATTCTTTTACACAAGTCCACAAACAAAATTTAAAGACAAAGCCGAATATAGAAAAAAGTAGCATCGCAAGCTGAGGCACCTATTCAAGCTATATGCTTGGGTCCCCTCAGAAATAACGTTTACCTCTTAGTCTTATGATCATTTCTTTCTTTTGCCTTATGATCTTTTTTCATTTGCTTATCACCAATTTTTTGTTGGTAGCCTCGCCCAACCTGAATCTGATAGGGTGTTTTGGTTGTACTACCCCCCCCCCCCCCCTTTTTCAATTACCTTACCCCTACACTGTACATGAAAACTTTAAAGATTATATTTCAAGGTGTTGGAAAATCATTTTTTTCATAACATTATTTATTTTGTATTTCTATTAGGCCTAATCAACAATTCATTGTCGCAGTCTATAACCTGTAGTTCCCTGCATTATTTTCAGCAATATTCGGTGACAGAAATAAAACAATCGTTTGAGATTTAACCCCCCCCCCATCCCCAAACAAATGAAACTGAAAAATGTTTGGTTGTTTTAACCCCACTTTTAACTGTAATATTAATTTTTTTTATATTATTTAATTTCGTTTATATTTTTATGAGTTTATTTCGTATTTTTCCTTTTAAAATTAAGTCAACAAATATGTGCACGAGTTAATAAATTAGCCTGCTGGTTCCCTGCATTTTCAGTGACAGACTCAGAGAACCAGAATATTTCAGGGAAGAACGACAAGATCAACGAGGAGGCTCAAAACAGTATTGAGGTTTGTTTATTTTGTATTTACACTTTATAAATTAGGCCTATTATCTTTATGGAAAACTCTGTGTGCAGATGGATATTTAGGGGCCTACATTTTAAATTTTATAGGCCTAAGTCGGTTAAAATGGCACATGTATTTTCGGTGACATGACTGTCACCAGCCCGCGTGTTTACATGTAACGTTGCCTGTTTACATTTAGCTACTGACCCTCTAAACATCTCGTAATCTTGTTTTTATGTTAGTTTACTATGTGTAACTTTACTGAAAGTGTTATATAGATTTATAGCGATCTCTTCGATCTCTTTATATTTAGGTGAAGAGAAATTTGGGACTATCAGTAGCTAGATGCTAAGTTAAATGTTTATAGATTTGCTCACCCACAACTTACATACAGTGGTCCTAGACATATATCATGAAGCACTAAAGCTTCTTGAAAAATATGCCTACTTGAAGTCTGCGTGATTCATACATCAATACAGTCTATGCGAATGTTTTTTTTTACCACACAGGGCATTCGGTCCTGTATAATTAATCAACAAACAGGACTTAATCAAATTTTGTCAGACCGAAAAAATCCAAATGTAAACAAATGGAACACCTGAAAATTAGTGAAGGAAAATGATAATTTGTTTGGCACAATTAATTAATAATTGTAGAAAAATTGAATTTAATATGTTGACGATACAACCGTTATGGCGAGCACAGATATTTATTTTGTTATAATTTAGATCAGGCTCATTAAACTGCACGTGACATTTAGTGTGTCTAGACTCTGATGTCACATTACCTCTTATAAATGTAAGTAATACATTTCCAAAAAGAAGCCTGAACAGTGCTGAAAGTAAATGAAGAACGTTTTGTTTACTATATTTATCTTCAATGTTTATCCATTAAATCAGGGCATGTTTACTTTTAGTTGAACTTTTGCTGCTATTCTTGCAAGAACGTAGCTTTAACAAGTGATGCATTGTGGGTCCAAGTTACGGCGTCAAAAAATTCTATCGAATGAATGTGCAGTCGTCCAAATTTTCTCTTCGCACAGAGCATGCAGAGGTTAGTCTTAAATTGAAAGTGAAAACGAGGCAGCACGTGAAAGTCATTATTGGCTTTCAGAGATTGTTTAAGAAATATAATGACTTTGTATTGACCAATCAGATTACCGGACTTCACAAAGTTATATAATATATGGTTATATGGACTCATGGCAATTGATATTGACCGAAGACTCAGAAAGTGATAGCGACTGAGCTTGTGAAGTCACTATCATTTCCTTTGTCTGAGGTCAATATCAATTGCCATGAGTCCTTATAATGACATAATTTGAGCATTCACTGAAGTCCATAATAGTTATATATTATATAAATGGTGCCTGTTTTGGAGGGTAACAGTTGAAATTGACACCCCAAGGAAAACCATTGTCAACCGACGCATCAGCGGTTTCATTATTTCTGCACTCGCAAGCATGTTTCGTCTGTCGTTTGTTGTTTTCAAGTAAGCTACATCAGACGCAAGCTTTTATTGACGTCAAGTTTATTCCGGTTCTTTCAAACGCGCAACTGACGTTTTGAGAATTCTACGGTGAACTGTACACGCATAATTTCCACGCATGTGGCATTACCGTTGTGTTACCCGTTGCCACATGTGTTGCTAAGGCTGAGGGTAATAGATCGGATTGTTAACTGCGTCTAAACCAATCAGATTTTAGTATTGAACATGAAAGTATAATAATATATAATCACACAAAGTTAATGCAATGACACAGTCCTAACTAAACAGACTTCGCTGTCATTACATCACAATTGTTAAAAACACGCATCTTATATTCTACGTAACTTCAGTGCACCAAACGCTGTGTTGTTCCACATCATTTTCTGCCAACACACTTTCGCGTCGATATCACAAAAGGAGGAATATCATGTGACATCCTTTCAGCCAATGAAAATTACAAAAATTATCTTCTTATATAATATATATGTAATTATTTTGCTTTGAAATTTGCATTATGTCGGTCATTACAGACATGTTTGAAATATATGGATTTTAATTACAACATTTTTTTATATCCATAATACCTAATGTCTTTTTTTACAGAACAGAATTTGTTGGACCCCAGTGTAACACTTTTATGGACAGAGAGGAAATCTTATCTCAAGGGTCAACATGTCTTTATTCCAAGAAAGGTAAATGATAATTACTTTTGCTAATACAATGTATACTCTTTTAATAAATTGTAACATCAGTGCAAAAGAAACATAGTCATACCAGTAACCTAACAACATTTTGAAAATGAAGTGCAATTGTATGATCAATCGAATGAATGTTAAACCCAGTCAGAATCATTCCTTGTACTTTTTTTTCGTATATCATTTTTATTAGGGCTGTGTATTGAGCAAAAAACAACAATATTTTATAATGTGATATGCACTATAATTGGATTATTAAACAAGTCTGTCAAAAAAGACATATAAATCATTATGCATGAATTTTACAAAAAAAAAAAATAAGAATAATTGTTTTGCAACTCATATTAATTTGTTTTTGTCTTACTGTCTTTAAAAAGTACACTTCAAATTCAAATTAAACAGGAAAACCTTGTTTAAAATATTTAGTACATTTATCTTACATGTTGAATAAATTGCATGTACTGTATGGAAATAGGTTCATTATTTTCAATATGTTGTTACTTTCTGACTCAAAAAAAGAATAGTTTTATATCCTATGCATCATGTGAATGCTTTAAGAAATTCTTATCCATATTTACATGCAATCTAATTAAAATTTGATGTTCCGAATCCTCTACAGCTTCTCAAACATCTAACAACATCCCATTCGGGGTCATGTCAGAACCACCTTTTGAGCCAATAGCCAAATGAAATCATTGCCCTGAAATCTTGGCTTATACATGTAGCTTTGAATGGGTTTCCTCTTTATAGTTAATGCCGTTTGCCTAAATGCCCGAGGAGTTTTGTAATTCAATGTAAACAAAATATGCATTGCGTAAGCTGTGCTTTGTATGAATTATGACGTTAGGATATCTTTAAAATAGTTAATGCTTTTTTGTTTATGAATATCAGTTGGTTTTCTTTATGCAGTTTAATGCAGTTCATGAATAAAATGTAAACATGGAAAAAGAAGCATGCTCCGTGAAGCATATTTTCTCAAAATAATGCATTTGTTATCCCTTTTAAGTTGATTTTTAAAAAAAAATATGTAGTTGATTTAGGAGCTCTTTCTTATCTTCACTGTTTACTCTTACAGGGGTGTATGCCAGAATCTTTTGAAGAACAGTCTGAATCTAACATGGAAAAATGAGGAAGAACAGCCTTCCAGCTTACAAATCTATATTTTGACAAAGGGTAATTTTGTTTTTAATTCAATTAGAAGTACACATAAAATTAATTTATGCTCGCACCCCTTCAAAGACGGGAGGGCATATTGTTTTGCTGCAGTCTGTCTGTCGGTTTGGTGGCCCACCACTAGTTTTGCTTCAATTTCTTCACAGAAGTTGCACATATTGAATTCAAATTTGATACTAATGTATATTGTTTGTTTATAAGCATGGGTGTATACATGTGCATAGGAATCATCATGCCCATCTCTCTGTTCATGTGTTTGCCCACATGTGAGATTAGCTTGTTTTAATTCTGGCTGAGATAAATTAGATTTAAGGTCATCTAAATACAAACAATTTAAAGTAAATTACTATTGTATTGGGATAAACATTTTGGAAAATATGTAACTTTATTACTAGGTTATATTATAAAATCTCAAGTTTTAAATACTGATTTACATGTAGAAAGTAGTTGGTCTCCTAAATGCAGTTATAATACATTTGGTCTCCCTTATGCATACAGTATATTATATAAATTTAAAGATCAACATGTATTTTTGTTTGTTGTTTAATTTCCCTTTTATATTTAGTTTATTTAACAAAACATATAACTTACATTAAAATCTAGTGTATTAAAATCTCAAGTTTTGAATACTGATTTACATGTAGAAAGTAGTTGGTCTCCTAAATGCAGTTATAATACATTTGGTCTCCCTTATGCATACAGTATATTATATAAATTTAAAGATCAACATGTATTTTTGTTTGTGTTTTTGTTTGTTGTTTAATGTCCCTCTTATTTTTGTTTATTTAACAAAACATATAACTTACTAGAGTATAAAAAGAAGGATATGGAGATAACGAACAGTATTCAATATCGAAGTCCATAAACATGACAAAATAAGAGCAGAGCAAACATGACCCATGAAACATCAGAGGTGGGATCAGGTGCCATGGAGAAGTGAGCATTCCCTGCTGACTGGTCACACCAGATGTTTGCTCATTGTCATGATAGTGAAATAACGGAAAATTTGTCGTCAATTCAGGTTATAAATAATGGACGAACAATTGGTATGAAAAATGTCAGTCAGCATTTGACTCAATGATAAATTGTATTTGCAGACAAGGTCATTGTATCAACTATAGAACTTACAAAATAATGACTTTAAACAAGACTGCTGATATTCTTGTTTCATCAACTTGAACTTGCTTGTCAATAATTTACCTCATTTTAGAAATTGTTCGTATGTAGAGCATGCTTTTGCGTATCGAATCAACTGAGATATATACACTCCGTATGCAGGTGATGAAGGTATATTGCTGATGATACAAAAGTTAAAGTCGTCATGTTTATCATATAACTAGGTTGTTAGGTTATCATTAACAGTGATTATTGTCTTTTTCAAGTAAAATATCCAAGTAAGAAACAGATGTGTCAGAGTCTGTGGTTTCTTTTATCTCAAGCTCTCCTGAATATATCGTATCGACATAGAAATTACCATTGTTAATTGACATGTTGTCGATATATCTGAAGGTCAAGTTGAAGGCCACAGCAAGTGTTTTCTTCTTTTCACGCATAAGATTTTGCATAAATTCTGCTTCATATGAATATAAAAATCTCAAGTTTTGAATACTGATTTACATGTGAATTTAAGTTGGTCTCGTAAATTCAGTAATAATACATTTGGTCTCCCTTATGCATACAATATACTTGTATCATATAAATTTAAAGACTGGCATGTATTTTTGTTTGTTTCTTTGTTGTTTAATGTCCCTCTTAGATTTAGTTACTGTAATAAAGCATGTAATAAACTAGGGTATTGAAATATATCTGAAGTTTTGAATGTTGATTTGCATGTGGATAGTAGTTGGTCTCCTTAATGCAGTAATAATATATTTGGTCTCCCTTATGCATAATGTATATTATGCAAATTTAATTATGTATAATATGTGAAAATCCAAATTTACTCTGAATGATGCTTGTTGTCAATGTTCTTTCAATTCAAGCATACAACAGACAAAATATAGAATTAGAAATGTATTTATCATCTGTCTCAATCTACATGTACAAATCATGAAATTTAAGAATGTCTACATATTACTGTAAATCGTTTTAATTCCGCGATGTTAAAATTTCATGATATCTCAAATAGTACCAATTCCGATGGTTTTAATTTCACACTTTAAGATATTAATTCAAATTTCGTATAAGCATTTAAACGCTTTTAACAACTAATGATAACATTCACGATGGGTTTAATTTCGCGGGAAAATGATAGATCGTGAACATAGTGAAATTAAAACCATCGTGAATATTTGCCAATCTACAGTATATATGCATTAAACATTAAATTGTAAATTTTGGACAATTAGTATGTTTAGCATCTCATATCAGAGTTGGAAATTACTGACTGCCCATGGCAGCCTGTTTTTGAGGTAGGGATTAATCTCTCTACATGTAGTCCTGGTCATTTAAACAAATTTTCTCTGTTTTCTATCCCTTTTAAGTTGATCTTTTAAAAAAATATGCAGTTGATCATGTCGATTTAGGTGCTCTTTATTATCTTCACTGTTTACTCTTTTACAGGGGTGTATGCCAGAATCTTTTGAAGAACAGTCAGAATCTAACATGGAAAAATGAGGAAAAACAGCCTTCCTGCTAATCTATATTCTGACAAAGGGTAATTTTGTTTTTAATTCAGTTAGAAGTACACATATAATTATGCTCGCATCCCTTTCAAAGAAGGGAGGGCATATTGCTTTGCTGCTTTCTGTCAGTCGGTTTGGTGGTCCACCTTTAGTTTTGCTTCAATTTCTTCACAGAGGTTGCACATATTGAATTTAAGTGTGGTACTAGTGTATATTGTTTGTTTATAAGCATGGGTGTATACATGTGCATAGGAATCATCATATCCATCTTTCTGTTCATGTGTTTGCCCACTTGTAGTCAGGGGCATAACTCAAACAAGTTATAAAAAAATAACTTAAATAAGTTATTTCACACACACAAATAAAAAAGAAAAAAACTTAAATTAGTTATTTGTATATCCTACTTGGACATTGATTTCTTGGAAATTTTGTGTTTCCTGCCAATATGCATTGCATTTTGGGATTCCATTATGTAATACTAGATGGAGTGCACCGACTACAATGGAGAATTGGTGAGGAGGTGGAGATAAATCGCATTTACACCTTATTTTGTGGTTTTATCCACATGGTGAATATATCTAATTTTTATTATTAAATAAAAAAATTCCCCACTTTTCCCAAGACTTTGAACACTTTTCCTGCATTGAGCAAGGTTTAAATTTAGTCAAACATTTGTTTTTGTTGTACGGGGTGTGAAGTTATTTTAGAAAAATAATGTGTTTGATTTACTAAGGCAAGGAGAAAGTACAGACCCTTAACTGTGCTACTACACCTCAGAAACGAACCGTACCGTGAACAAAGCATACCATTCCGTGCACAAAGTGAACCGGTCCGTTCACAAAGCATACCGTACCGTCCACAAAGCGAACCGTTCCGTTCACAATGCGTACCTAGCTGTCCACAAAGCGTACCGTACCGTTCACAAAGCGTACCGTTCCGTGCAAGAAACGAACCATACCGTTCTTTGGTTAATTATGCAAACCATGCCCCCAATGATTTTTGAATCGTGTAATGACCAAATAAGTCATTCAGGTTTATTTCTCGCTACGGCGCCTGTGAAAGGAGGACGGAGATTGTGTCTGCCTGTTCGAAACACCATTATCAAGTATCAAGCGTCTGGGCCCTCAACTTTAAAAATAAGGAAACTACTCGAAGCAAACTACAACTTCAAAACAACTAGACAGAGTGTGAGACGATTCCTTATTTGCTATAAATTAGATCAACTGGTTGTGTTTGTGGTCAAAGGTACAGTACAGGCCATGAGTTTTCCCGCAAAACACGTACGGGGCACAGTGGACCTTGAACAATGTCGGCGTATTTGAAGTCTTTCATTTTCTTTATATTAGCAAATTAAATCAATTTCCTTTTGAAATATTAGTTGTATTTAAATATTTGTAATTTAACTATACAGATATTTAAACTAATATTATAAGATGCCCCAAAATTCAATATAATCGTGCTCGTGCCCGGGGAAAATCCCTCTTTAAATGTGTACATGTACACTCATGTTTCATAATCCTATAATTATATTTGATATAAAAATAGGTTCAATAGACTATAATACAACTAAGATAGAACACGCTTTCATTAATTAATTCCCTGGTTGTCTCTACTTTAGATTTTGATTTTGCTCATTTAAATTATTAAATCGGATACAAGATCGTTTTTGTCGTAAGTATGCATTCATATTAGTACATATCAGATGCATGATTTAACTAATGAATTATTTTGTAAGAATTTTAAAACATATATAAACTGTCTAGAGTAAAATTTAAAAAAGAACTGTATTAGACTATCACATTAATTCTGTTAAGATTTTTACTATAGGCGAATCACTGGTGCAGTTATACTTACACTGAAAATCTGTAATCATGTAAAATATGGATTAAAATATTACATGCGGTAAACATGAAGATTTCTACTGAACAGACAGAGATGATAATCTTACTAATAAAACTGATCAACTTTCATGCTGCATACAAAAATCGCCAGCCGAATTTCTTGCAGAAAAAATGTGCAAACTGCAGTATAAATATTACTTCATTCTGAAATACATCTTATGAAAAATGAAAAAAAAAACAGTTTGCGAAAAAATAAAGATATTATAAGGTTTGTTACACTGTACCCCCATCCCCTTTCTAGAAAGCAATACGAATTAGCTGGTTAAAAGTTCTTTAGAAGTCTGCAAAATGGTACGTTGTTGTAAATTAAAAATTAAATCATGATCTACAGGAAACATCCTTATTAGTGTCTGTAAAAAGATAATTTACTATATAAAATGAAATTTAAAAAAAATATCAATCCTCTTTCAAGCCATATTATGTTTGTTACCCCCCCCCCCCCCACCTCTAGAAGGCGATACTTATGTGAATTTATGTGACTTTAAATTGTGCTTTTGTAAAAAAAGAAAATTATAATTTAGGGATACATGCTTATTTATTTTTGTCTGAAAAAGGATAATTTAGGAAGTAAATTTGTAATCAGTGTTGTGGTGAAACCTGGAAGATGAGTTTGCTGGATGTCAGTTGAGTGATTAAAAACACTTGATGTGGTCAGAACTAAATAATTTGAAAGGTGTGTTAAACACACGGCGCCCCCATCCCTCCGGCTGTGACCCAATATATTTTTTTAAACAGGTGTGAACTATGAACTGACCATAAGAATGTTTCAAATCACAGGAGAAATTCTTCCTACATAAACAGACTTTCAGGGTCTCTTAGCGTCATGCCATTTTGATTGACAGGTGATGCACAAGGATTTCATGCGTGCAGCATGCATGTACAGAGAACGGATTATTCATTGCATAATAGTTGTAAATGGGTTGATTAAAAAGCATCATAGACTGATTAATTGTGACTTTGGCGATGTAAATAAAATGAAGAAGGAGAATGAATACAAATCATTTTTTTTTACAGATAATGTATTAAGGGGTTGGATCTCTCTATCCCCCTTTTCTCTCTCTCTCTCTCTCATTCACATCGTTTTTACAGACTTTACAGGAATAGAATAACTTAATAAAATAAAGAAAAACGTATTAAAATAATTACTTAATACACTGAAAGGATTATTGAAAACATAAATACTTGTCTGTAAAAAGAATGCTTTCTGTTACGAGAAAGTGCTCGGAAGTTATTGTATTGATTTCGTGTTTCTACTGCTGATTTTCGTATCTATTTTGTTTACTGATATTTCTCTTCTGAAGCAAATGTTTAAATGATAGATCTACAATTTTTGAAAATAAAAAAACAATGTACATATCTAATTACTAGGAATAAAAATGAAGCAGGAATAGTCATATTTATTTCTTTAGATCAATTAATTAGAAATAATTTATATATGTGCGTATAGAACAAGTATATACCCGGTATTATATTAATTCCTTTTAATTATGTTACAACTTTATTTTAAAGTGATTGATTGATTGAAAATTTATACTGTTTAATGTCCCTCTCCAGAATATTTCACTTATATGGAGACGTCACCATTGCCGGTAAAGGGCTGCAAATTTAAGCCTATGCTCGGCACTTACGGCCTTTGAGCAGGGAGGGATTTCAATTCTTATATATTTGCAACAAATTGCAGTCATTTTCACATAGAATTTTATAGTTTTTAATTTTTGATTTTTTTTGCCACACCTGCTGTGACACGGGGCCTCGTTTAGAATTATTTATTTTCATTACGTGTCTCATCTAGATCATTGAAATCTGTGTTTTTGTTTGTTTCTGTTTTTTTGAGGACCGCCCATTTAGTCGCATTTTATGACAAGCAAGGGGGTACTGAGGACCTATTCTAACCCGGATCCAACATTTTAAAGTGAAAAAATATTTCATTTAATTTTTTTTCCTTTTTAAAATGAAGGTTCAGCATAAGTAAAAAATAAGTACGGAAATATTTACGAGTTCTATATATATTAATACATATAGATAATCCAATAAAAAGTCTCAGTGGTCGGAATTGAATACTTAAAATATAAAAGAATAAACACGAAAAAATTTTCATTTAGTAAAGCTTTAGGCCTTTCATTCTTATTATCTTCAGAAGCTTTACAAAATTTTTGTAAAGCTTCTGAAGATAGAATGAAAGGCCTTCAAAGCTTTATTCTGAAGTTTTTTTTGTAAAGCGTTTTTCTTCTTTATTTTAAGTATTAATACATATCTATACATAATGCCAAAGACATCGGTGGGATGATGTTTTTTCTTTCATTTTTTTTTTTTTCATTTTTCTTCCATCACCGCTGTAGTGTAAATTTATGTTTAAATTGAAACCAAGATATTAATTTGTTAATAGTGGAAATATAATTATATACATGCATTAAGTACTTCAAAAGTCATTTAAAATGAATTAATTTTTAGCAACCAATCAAGAATTAAAGCTAACAGGCTCCGCCCACTTCATTTGCATACCGTTTCCCAAAGGTTCACAAAACGAACCGTTCCATGCAAGAAACGAAACGTACCGTCCACAAAGCGTACCGTACCATCCACAAAGCGTACCGTACCGTTCACAAAACAAACCGTTATATTCACAAAGGGTACCGTTCCATGCACAAAGCGTACCAAACCGTACCGTTCAAGTGGTGTAGTAGCACAGTTTAGGGTCTGTAGGTCATAGCAAAGAGAAAAAACTCATTGAGACCAAAATATAACTCATTTGAGTTATTTTTGAAAATAACTTGTTTAAGTTGAGCCCCTGACTGTGAGAAGATGTTTTAATGAATCCCACCCTATTTTTGTCTTTTCTTGATTATCTCCCCTTGAAAGAGGGCATGACCCTTCATTTGAACAAACTAATATCCCCTTTATGTTGTGTGATTAGCTTTTTTTGTTTTAATTCTGGCTGAGATAAATTGATTAAGGTCATCTAAATACAAACAATTCAAAGTAAATTACTGTACTATACAAATTTAAAGATCAACATGTATTTTTGTTTGTTGTTTAATGTCCCTCTTATATTTAGTTTATTTAACAAAACATATAACTTACTAGAGTATTAAATCTCAAGTTTTGAATACTGATTTACATGTGGATTGGTCTCTTAAATTCAGTAATAATACATTTGGTCTCCCTTATGCATACAATATACTTGTATTATAAAAATTTAAAGACTGACATGCATTTTTGTTTGTTTCTTTGTTGTTTAATGTCCCTCATAAATTTGTAATTGTAAGCATGTAATTAACTAGGGTATTGAAATATATCTGAAATATATCTGAAGTTTTGAATGCTGATTTGCGAGTGGATAGTAGTTGGTCTCCTTAATGCAGTAATAATATATTTGGTCTCCCTTATGCATAATGTATATTATGTAAATTTAACTATGTATGATATGTGAAAATCAAAATTTTCTCTGACTGATAGTGGTTCTTTCAATTCAAGCACACAAGTCAACAGCCAAATTATCATGAATAATAAAATTAGAAATGATTTTATCATCTGTCTCAATCTACATGTACGAATCATGAATTTAAGAATGTTAATATATTATATATGCATTAAGCATTAATTTGTAAATTTTGGACAATTAGTATGTTTAGCAAGAGTTGGAAATTACTGACTGCCCATGGCAGTCTGTTTTTGAGGTAGGGATTAATCTCTGTACATGTAGTTCTGGTCATTTAAACAAATTTTCTCTGTTCTCTACCTTTTTTTCAGGGTATAGTAAGTCTGTAGAAAATAAGTAAAATATAATATAACAAGGGAGCACTTCTAGTTAAATTATAAATAAACTTAGTGTTAATTGAATTTAGATGATTTTTAGTAACCTGACTAATACTTTTCATTAAATGTAGCTTTTAAAAGTGTCTTTTTAGTGATTTTTGAAACATTATTTTACCGTGCTTTTGCAAATATACTCAAAAAAAGTATAAGTATTTGTAACATTTCTATCATTTTTGCACGATTTTCCATAACTGCATATATGGAAAAAGACAAAATGTACATGTGTATGCATGTAAAATACAAATGGCGAATGCACATGTTTGAAGCATTGACAAAATCGAGAGAGAAAGCTTTTCATTGTGATTCATTTCAACTAATCTGCATGATTTAAAGGCAAAACAAGAATAAAATAACTTTAGATAAAATTAAAATGCATAAATTTAAAATGTTTAGAATTGCGTAATAATTACACCTAAAGGGCATGTGCTGAAAAAAAAGATTTGGCGAAGAGGGATTAATCTCTGTACATGTAGTTCTGGTCATTTAAACAAATTTTCTCTGTTCTTGTTTCCTTTTTAAAATTATTACATTTGAAAATTTTTTTTACAGGGTTATAGTAAGTCTGTAGAAAATTAGTAAAATATAATATAACAAGGGAGCATTCTAGTTAAATTATGAGTTGACCTACGAATAGTTTGTCAAATCAGATGATTTTTAGTAACCGGGTACTTGCCTACTTTTCAGTTCAAGTAGCTGGTTATGCAGATGATTTTTCTTTAGACCTCAAAATACCTGCTTTTGCAATATACTCAACAGGAACTAGTATAAGTATTTGTAACTTGTTATTTCCATATCTTTTTTGCATATTTTCCATATTTGCATATATTGAATAAAGACAAGTACATGTACATGTGTATGCATGTAAATCTGCATATCTGACACGTTTTGATTGGCTAATGCACTGATGTTTGAAGAGTAAAACAAGCATGAACGAGAGAGAAAGCTTTTCATTGTGACTTCATAAGAGAGCAAATAATCAAAAACACAATGCTCCGTGATGTATTTAATGTAACAAAACAAGACAGAAACAACAAACAAATGCATAGATTGCATTAGAATTTGAATAATTATCTTTAAAATTTAATTTGGTATTTGCACCGTTAATGCTGATTTAACAGTTGAAAACATGTGTTTTAGTTAATCACACAGAAAATTAACTTTATTTGAAAACCATAGGATATATTTGTTATGAAGAGGGGTATTATGGAAATATATGAGAATCATGGCAGCCATTTTTGCAATACAAGTAGGGATTAATCTCTTAATATAAATTCTTACAAGGTTTTCATTTAAACAAATTTTCTAATTTTCAGATAATAGAATTTTTTCATAAAACATCTTTATATATATCAAAGGATAATATAGGTCACAATTGGAGGACATTCTAGTAGAAATATATGAGTTGACCAAACGATTAGTGTTGTCAAATCAGATGATTTTTAGTAACCGGGTATTCGCCTAACTTTTCAGTTCAAGTAGCTGGTTATGCAGATGATTTTTCTTTAGACCTCAAAATACCTGCTTTTGCAATATATACTCAACAGGAACTAGTATAAGTATTTGTAACTTGTTATTTCCATATCTTTTTTGCATATTTTCCATATTTGCATATATGGAATAAAGACAAGTACATGTACATGTGTATGCATGTAAATCTGCATATCTGACACGTTTTGATTGGCTAATGCAATTACTTGTGTTTGAAGCAGTAAAACAAGCATGAACACTTGAGAGAGAAAGCTTTTCATTGTGACTTATTTTCATAAGAGAGCAACCCAAAAAACAATGCTAACTCATATTTAATGTAACAAAACAAGAAGAAACAACAAACAAATGCATAGATTGCATTAGAAAAGGTTGGAATAATTATCTTTAAAATTCAATTTGGTATTTGCGACCGTTAATGCTGATTTAACAGTTGAAAACATGTGTTTTAGTTCTCACACAGAAAATTAACTTTATTGAAAGAAAACCATAGGATATATTTGTTATGAAGAGGGGTATTATGGAAATATATGAGAATCTTTGAAAATCTAATGCATACAAGCCACGGTTATAATCCTTGCCAATATACATTTTACAAGGACCACATATGCATAAATGCCAATCTAATTAAAATTAGATAATAGATCCTTTCCCATACTCACAACACTAACATTTGACATCCCAAAGAGGGTAATGTCAGAGGTCAAATTTAGAACAACTGATTTGGATCAACAGATATACAATGATTTTGAAGGCGACAATATGATTGGTTGAGGGAATTTGACCTCTGACTTAACCTTTTATGGGATGTTGTTAGATATTAGTGTAGCAAGTAATATGAGCAGATATAAACATGAAGTCTAATTTTAATTAGATTGGCATATATTTCAGTTTTTAAATGTCTGCATTGCTGATATTGGTTTAAATGTAAAAATTTTACAAGGAATTGTTCAAAACTTTGCTGTTGATTCAGAAAACTGAACATAGTAAAAGAAAAATCATTATGATTTATCTGTGTACTAGTATATCATGATACCTCATGAATGCTTGTATCTAAGTTTGTTATTTTTTTTTTCTTTTTGTAGATTGAATCTGTGTTAAAACTTGTCCAATATATAAAGACAATGGGTGAAAAAGTACAGCTTTGTTCACAGGAACTTAATACATCATCATAAGGTAATTTCTTTTATTGAAAAGGGGGATTACACAGCATCTTTCAGGTATAATTGTCTTCTCAGAAAATTGTAGAGATATGCAACTGAAGGTTGATTATTATAGTGACATTTATTTTTTTCCTTTTTGGCTAATACTGTATACAGGGTTATTTTCGCCCCGTGTTATTTTCGCCCTTTCACACTTGCAAACAATTTTGCCCCCTTTTAAATTCGCCCAGTCAAAGTTTTGTTTAAGAAATTATACTGTATTCTATGAATTCGCCCAAATGAGAGTAGGGCAAAAGGGGCAAAAATAAAACGGGGGCGAAAATTTCCCTGTATCATGTGTATACAGTACTTTTATGATTTTCACTTGATTATTGAAAAAAGCCTTTGATATCACTGCTGATTTTATTTCATGATTATAGTGGATGGAGAACAGATTATGATTTCTTACAATTTATTACTATTACAGATCATTTTCCTAAGATGGGTGAAATCAACAGTCAAATACTGACACTTTAAAGAAAAGCAAAAGACATCTCAGGTAAAATGAAAAAAAAAACAAACTCATTTACAGTTTTATTAATTACTAATCTTTAGCTTGACAAACCAGAAATTTCCTATTTGACAATCTACAGATCAAGATTGATTGAATGTATGTTGTTTAATGTCCCTCTCAAGAATTTTTCACTCATATACCCAGGTCAAGAATGCAGAGTTTATACATTGTAGACTAGTAGGATTTCGGTCAATTATTACAGGAAAACTACAGTCCCTATCAAGAATTTTATACTCGTATGAAGACACCACAACTTGCCGATGAAGAGCTACAAATTTTTACCTATATGCCGGCACCTACTGCGACATGGGACCTTGATTTTTACATCGGTCTCATCTGAAGGATCAGTCTCTGTGTTCCATAGTGGGAATCAAATCTGCCACATAAGGATCAAATCCTTATTTCTTGACTCAAGAGCAGACGCTCTAACACTATGCCACCCAGGCTTCTAGACTTTTATGAGGATCGCTGACTTATACAGTTGATGGCTTTCTTTTACACAATGTATGGAAGCTCTTTAAAAATATAAAATTTAGTCCAACATTTAATTAACAAAAATATTTTTTTTTTCAGTGCACATATAAGTTGTGTTTAAAGAAAACAACAACCACTGTACCCTCAACACCCGGCCTTCACATGTAAGTCCCCCTAACACCATAGCTATGACTATTTCAAATCTTTACAACTTACTGAACTGTGACACAACATACAGACTGTACATTTAATGTTCATGTCATAGAAATATGACGTTACCTTTTCAAAGTGCATGAAAATGCACATGCACAATTGCAGGAAATGGTTTATGTATGATTTTGCGTCAGAAATAGGAAATGGTTTATGCGTTAAAATGTGTGACTGTGGGGAAGGGGGTTAAAGGTTTTCTTATCTATTAACAATTCTGTACCTACATGTATGTACATGAAACAGATTTAAATGTCCAAGTATACTGTCAACTGTAAAAGTCTGTGCTTCTTGCAAAAGTCCATGAACTCAGTGTTAAAGCGACTGTTCGGCTGCATATTGTGTGCTTTTTCATTCAAATATACCCAATATAAAATTTAAGGAGTAAGGAAGAAAGTTGAAGTCAGCAGTGTTAGAAACATTAATACTCTCACCCTATACAATTACAAAGTTAACAAAATTAGAATCTGCCAGAAAATCAAGGGTCATACCTATTTACTTGTATAACGTGGATCCTAAAACAACACATGTCTACACTTTGGGACTTACAATCATAATGGAATATGAGGTAAAAGCAAAATTTTCTCAAAAGCAAAATATCATTACTCTTTGATGAATTAATAATCTTTTACATTTTAATCTGCATTCAGACAAATTTAACAGAATTAAGTAAAAATGTTGACCTGATGTGTATTGGGGCCCAGCAAAGAAAAATTCACCAAAGCATACATTATCGTGGCAAAATGTCAAACAAAATATGTTCTGCAGGTCCATTACAATTTGCACTTCAAATGGCAATTATTTTTACTTGTCATAGGTGCATTTTTATCTTGAGTTTACATTGATTTTTTTTTCTTTGTAAGCCACATGGAGATACAAGTAATGATAGCTTGTATCAACAAACCTGCAGAATAGAACCGTAGCAAACCCGGCACAAGTGTTGCCGAGACCTAATGTCTTCATCCAATGATTAAATTATACTCCCAACTAATTTTTTTAGTAGGAAAATTGCATTTCAAGCCCTGTAATATACTACAAGATTTGTCACAGAAAGTCATAGACAGGGAAATTAGTTCAGTTTCATTTTGCTAGATTAATTAAATTTCTTTCCTTGTCATTGCAAGAAGTAACATTTTTGATCATGCATTTCAAGTTTCATGATATCGCGTTTAATAAGAAAATTATGTAAGAATAAAGAAAGCATGTTTAAGTGTACATCGGGGCACGAAAGGAAGCGTAATTTTCCTCTCTCTTCCTTTATCTGCTTCACAAGCGTCTGTTAACATTAAATGATATTTTTTTTAAAGTGAAAGACCACTCTTCACTAGGGAACTTATTTAAAATAACAACTGTCTGTTATTTTTTTCTTGTTTATTTTTTTTTTCAAGCAAATTCAAATTTAAGTCAAAATTTAGTCGAACATTGCACACAGCAGAAAAAACACATTGTTTGATGTCATTCGTAGCGCAGATTGTTCCCCATTGCCTGCATTTAAAAAAACTGTTCTCTTATTCTTAGTATACATACTTTAACTATTTTTGGTATAGAGGAGAAACTCTCATTGAATTTCAAGACATTTAAAAATAACTTCTTTATTAAAATATAGTGTGTAATATCACTTCTGTACTATTCTTTCCCATCTTTGGTGTATATAAACCATATCCAAAACAATTAATTACATCTCTGTGTGCCGGTTACACATTTGACAATGTCATTTTAATCAAACTCAATTCCAATGACACTTGAAAATCATGAAACCAATTGTCTGTTTCTTAAATGCTATTTGAACAATTTCTAAAGCGAGGTAAATTATTGACAAACAAGTTAATGAAACAAGAATATCAGCAGTCTCATTTAAGGTCATCATTTTGTAAGTTCTATGGTCAATACCATGACCTTGTCTTAAAATACAACATCATCGAGTCAAATGCTGACTGACGTTTTTCATACCAATTGTTAGTCCATTATTTATACACTGAATTGACGACGGATGTTTCCGTTTTTTCACGATCATGACGATGAGCACACGGCGGGTGTGACCGGTCAGCAGGGGATGCTCACTCCTCCTTGGCACCTGATTCCACCTCTGATGTTTCAGAAGTCTTTGTTTGCTCTGCTCCTATTTTGTATTGTTTTATGGACTTTGATATTGAATACTGTTTGTTATCTCCATATCCTTCTTATATGAAATTTTGATATATATAAGATTTTTATTCTGGTTTCACTGATTAAAATTTGAGTTCAATGTTTTACAGTTAGTGAATTGCTATTTCTTTTGTTTGTTTGCTTATATTCAGACCAATGGTGTTGACATATTTTCAAATAATTAGGATAAACTTACCACTCTAGTGTACCTTTTGTCACTGAAGTTATATGAATGGTCAAAAATTGACTAACTTTCATTTTTGTGTCACTTTCAGAGCAGAACGACACTTAGAGATGCTTTACTTGGTGCCTGTCTGTCCGTCTGTCACACTTTACATCTCCAGAACTGTAAGAGGTATGGTTTTGATATTTTGCAAATATATTTCTTGGCACTAAGGCTTTTGTAAATTACCATGGTTACTGACCCCATGACCTTTGACCTACTTTGCAAAAATATTGCCGATAAATTTGGTCATTTAATTAAGAGGAAAGCGTTAAGTCCAATGGCATTTTTATTTAGCACGTGCACTGATTGTCACTGAACATGATATATGCTATTATTACAATTTATTTGACTTGCCTTTCTTTACAAAAAATATTCCGTACAGTTTGTTTTAACTTATGGCTTTGAAATTTTGAGAGAATTTAATTAGCATTTATACATGTTTATAAGCTCACAATACTATACTTTGAAACCCTTTCTTTCTGAGGATTTTTGGAAGCACCTACATGTGTATTTTATAAAATGATAAATAGTTATTCCTCATAATTTCAATTTAATTATTCATTTGATTGCCAAATTCTATCCCAGTCTTTTCCATTTGATCCTTTTTTTCCTTGCAGACAAATGCATGAACCTCCAAAGCTCAATGCTAATTTTAATTTAAAAGCTGGCCACTCTTAGATTTATTTATCTCTTTAATGAAGCTACATAGCAGGCTACATATACATTCCTCAAGAATACAGGTGACTCTATATACTTCAATCTTTAATTTTCTTAAAATTAGGTACATGAAGTTGCTTCCAAACATCTGAAAGTTCTATTACAATTATCACTATTTTTATTAGTTTTCTTCATGTAAGTTTAATGTATTTTGAAATTTAAAACTTTTATTTGTGCCAGGTAAGAGAGAAATTCAGTTCTAAAATTGCCCTAGGAGTTCTTGGATTGCATCATACTGCTTACAGGCCTTGACAAAAAACAGTGTCTTGAAAAAAAAACTGAAAATATTCAGTGAAAAAATTGATGAGAGAAAGATCCACTAGAAATATTTTGAAGCCTTTGAGCTGAAATCTGGACTTAACTGGTATGTCTTACGAAGTCATCAGTTGTGTATAATAAATACAATAAACACTTTAGTACAATCTTTAGATATAATTTGTAGCTCGCATACTTCAATTATTTCATGAAATTTAAGTAAGAATGATAATTTCCTGCTGTCTAGCTAGATTAAAAACTGTTATAGTCCAAATTTGATATTGTGAAATAATTCATTTAGAAAATCGGATATGCATACATGTGTGTATACTTGCATGTAAATTAATTGTTAAAGCAAGTTCAATTTATCATTAAGTTGAAAGTTGACTAATTTTAGTGCATCTTTTATGTAAAAGTATGGATGAAAACCATTTGATTTTTGTACCTTTGAATGTATTAATCAATTTGTAAAAGCTCTTTTGATACACTGTTTGATATTTTATAAAAGTTTTTAGCACATGCAATCAGTAAATGTGTCACAATTTTGATTTGATTACTATTCTGTTTTTAAGAAGTAAAAAAGTGTAAAGTTCCATGTAGCTTATACTAGTTTAGTGGCACATGGTACTGGTATATCGTGTATATTGAACTGTCAATGAAATAAAAGTCTAAATAGTCAAAACACAGGATTAGGTAGGGAATGCACTATCTTGTATGGTAATAAATGTTAAACTACTACTTTTTTTTTATTAACAAAGGGTATGCTTGAGTGACTGTATTTTAATAAGCAGTGAAAATAAAATAATTTTTAAGCATTTGAATTATTTTGATTTTTTTTTTGGTCTCTGCATGTTTATATAATGATTGCAAATATGCATATTGAACATGGCATCCACATATTGCTATACTTCATGCATATGGGGCATACACTGTAGCTTTTACTGAATCTTAATCATAACCTTGAAATTTTATGTACATTTGTACATGTAGAACATGTGGTCATGGTTTCAACTGGTCAACCGTATTTAAGGAATCACTGTCTAGTTAGTAGAAACCCTGGCATACATGTAGTCCTACTAGCTAGACAGTGATTCCTTTTATTTCCATTTAATTGTGAAAAAATTATTTATTTACATTTTAGAAATACATACTGAAAGATTTATATTCTACGAGCCATTCCCATGTCAATGTCAATAGTCTCCGCCGTCTGACATCAAACACAAAGTCAGCCGCACGAGATTTACAGACGCACAGAAGATTTACATGCATATTAGGCTTCCTTAGCGTCAAACTCAATAGACAGACGCACACAAGATTTGCATGCATATTAGGCCTCCTTAGCTTCTGGCCTATATTGCTTTGCCTAATTTACATTCCGGTAGAATTATCAGAAAATCAACTCCACTAACTTTCAAAGAGTTAACACAGAGACTGAAAACAAATAGAAATATTCTTCAGTCACAAAGTATTTAAACAGATATAGATATTTGTTTCCCACAGTGGAATTCAAACACATGACATAAGGATCAACTTCTTACTCATAGACTCTTGAGCATAGGCCCTTACCACTGTACTACGTATACGTGGGTGACAGCATTGAGAGTTAATCGTAAATATTAGAACAAGCTACTCTGGGCTTATAAACTGTACTTTCTATATAAGACTTATATACAAGGACTATAGTTTTATATACAAGGTTACCTAACCTAACTGATCATGTTGAGTCACATAAGCACAAATATCTTTCAGCTAATCTTGACGGATGATCATCAGCAACTATTTTAGATGGATACAATATGTTAATTAATGTATAAACACAGAAATTACTGTGAAAGAAAAATTGTCTACTTAAGCCAGAAGTTATATTTATGAAAATATACACTGGTCTCCATAAGCCATATGAGAGAAACATAAAATATTAGGGAGACCACTTTTTTCATATATTTTTAGTAGGCAGGTTTAATGAAAAAATGAAGCAAGAGTCGGCTAAATGGTGGTCTATAGATCATAGATCTGGTATTCCTCTTTAGAAAAATGCATAATTAAAAAAAATGTATATTGTCTCCTTAAGCC